GTATTTTTAAATTTTATTAGCAACAAATATAATAATAAGTAAATAAAATATAAATTGCTTACTTTATATTTATGTATTTATATTTATTATTAGCTTCAGTAATCATTCTTAAGTACAAAAACCCCAATTTTAAAATACGACACACCCAACCTGATTGTTTTCTTGTTCTTCCTGACTTAATCTTCATATCGTTAATTGAATGTCTAGCTAAAAATGCTTGAGTTGGACTCGTTGACGTCGTTTGTCGCCGTTGCCTAAAGAACATTTTGATTGATTCGTCTCCGCTTTAAGTGCACAGACAAGAAACGTATATAAATACATACATACATGTATCTAAGTAAATATGTATGTGTGCATGTCATCTGTATTAACGCCACCAAATGAGGAAATGCTTACTTTAATTTATAATATACATACAGATGTACATACAGATGTATATTCATATATGTTTCTCTCATCTAATTTAACGAATGATCTTGACTTTTAGTTGATTTATTCCCTGCTCCCAAGCAGCGCTGCCTTTGTCTCTTCCTCTTCTTCTCTGCTTATGCCTTTGACGTTCTAGAACATGGGAATGCATAATGCGGCCACAATTCGCCAGAGGTCGCCACATTCAAGAAATTGCGCTCCACATATTTATGCATACGGACACACATACACACACACACATAGATATTGTTGCCTATGGATGTATTTCTTAATTGCACATTTATTAAAATTTATTTGTTGTCGATTCGTTGGCATACGAGCAGCGCATAGAATTGTTTATGGCCGAATGCAGCCGTTGACAGTCGCTGCAGGAATTGAAGCTAGAGCGGGAGCGGCCAGAGGACGGGCCAACAATGGGTTAAATCGGTTGCAGCAGCTTGTATTGTTTTGTCTTGCAAAAATTTCGTGTTCGCCACATTTCACTTGCTGCCGTAATAAAATTCCAAGCAAATCCAGCAAAATAACAAAACAAATTGTTTTCTATTTTTTGTTTGTGCTATTTTTAAAAAACGAGGAACAAGAATTTGCATAACAAAAGTGAAAAGGCGCGCGCGGAGGCAGCGCCAGGCGCAGCGCTCTGTTTGTTATTTTTGGCATAAACGAAGAGCGAAAGAACGAGAAGGAGACCCAAACAACAGTCGAGCGTAAGCGAGAGCGCATTCAAATGTTTACTCGAGCGACGCCAGGCGACGGCGACGGCGACGGCAACGGTGACGTCGACGTCACTGCTGTCGGGTTAATGCACCGCAGCTGAGATTAACAACAAATTAAGGCTTACCTTTCTCAGTCAAGGGACTCAGTGTTTTTGTTTTTGCTGCTGTGGAGCCGGACTCCTGTTGCTGTTCCTGCTGCTTCGATTTGCTGCCAGCAACGGCGGCAACGACGACGACGACGCAAAACAGCAACAACAACAACGACGACAAATTCGCTGTCGCCGGCATTTTGCCGCTACTGCGCTGCCTGCTGCTGCGGCGACTGCTGTTACTGTTGTTGTTTCTGGTGTTTTTGCTGCTGTTGCTTTACTCGTAAAATAAAGACAAAAACAAAGCGCGCACTCACTCACACACACACGCAACGCACTCGCGTAAAGCAGCTATTGCTTAAAATGTTCTTTGTTTTGTTTATATATTCAGCATTTTTGTGCCGCAAATTGTGGCAGCGATATTTTTTGTTTACTTTTTACTCGTTTTGTCTTTGTTTTTTATTATTACTATTTTGCCGCGCGAATAACAAATACGCGCATACATACGCACATGTACGCAAACACACGCATACACAAATAATACACTTAACGCCAATACACGCTAACTATGAATTAGGCACAAGGCTCAAGCAAATTGTAAACACTGCGTTGCCTGTACATACATAACGATATTTATTTTTCACATAATTTTCATTTATTTTGCCATATGTATGTATATTTATGTATATTTGCGTCGGCGTTCAGAACGAAAAACCGCGCGACACTCCGAACCACACGCACAGAAAACCGTAAGAAGACTGAAGGAAAAACACAGCATTCATTTAGTAAGCAATTCAAAAGGTAACTCTCTCAGTGAGCACTTACTGAGAGCAATCGCTGCGAGAATCCGTGACGTCATAGCTTTACGAATTCAATTAGCAGTAAATCGCGCACGAATAAAGAAAATTATGTGTTGCCAATGAAATTAATTATTTTTAATAGTTATATTAATGAATATTCCTTAGCATACAGCACCTTTTACCATTATTTAAATAAATTTTAAAATATTCACAAAGTTGTATATCGATATGTGATATCTACAGCTGTCCCACATTTTTGTCATCACTAACAGCCACCTATTGCATGCAAAGGGTTAACGTAGCCCTGGTATTTGAGACTATGTGCTCAGCCCTGTTATATTGTAAAATCCTGAGCAAGCGGCGCCAAAATCAAGTTTATACCTGCAGCATAAACAATTTAATAGCATTCGGTTTTGAAATTCGTTGCCATAAACAACAAACATCCAAATTGTTCGTGATTTAATTTTTCGAAAAATAATTTTAAAAATTTGTTTGTTGGATAATGTTGAGTCAGTGGTTTGTGAGTACATTAAAAAAAATAAAACTGCACTTCGATTGCATAATTGGTATTTGCATTTGTATTTTTTTGTTGACATTTATTTTTGGCAACAGCGCGGTCGTCATCTTGTGGTCCGCTCTGCGCTGTTCAGCCGGCGACGTGTCTCCTCCGAATCAACCAGTACAAAAGATGACGTCATTGTGGACTTCGAAGATCCCGATTTGCCGTTGCCCGAGTATCCCAAGCGACCCGATGAGCCTTTAGAGACGCGCAAGCAACGGTAAGTGTTATATTAAGTTAACTGACCGATGCTAAACGACTGCATTTTATAACAGTTTGATGTATCAATCACGCAAACGTGGAATGCTCGAGAACGATCTGCTCCTGAGCACATTTGCGCACAAATATCTAAAGGATTTCAATGCGGAGCAGACAGCGCTCTACGACGATCTCATCAATGGAGTCAGCAACGATTGGGACATTTATTATTGGGCAACGGGCGTCAAGCAGACGCCCAAGGAATACGACACGGAGATCATGAAGCTACTGAAGTTACACGTTGATAATGCAGAGAGGGTCACACGCTTCCGGCAGCCAGAGCTGACCTACTATCTGAAATGTTAGGGGTTCCTTAGTTTTTGTTTTCGTGTTTTTTTTTTCTTTTGTTGTTGTCTTTTGTTCTTGTTATTTCTGTGTTTGTTTGTTTGTTTTTTTTTTTTCAAACGGAAAACGTACACAAGGCGACAATACTTGCGGCCGCCTTGGATATCGTTTTCCCAGTGGCTAATTCTTACTTTTCGGCTTCGCCCATTAGGTTTAAGTAGTTTTTGGTTGTGTTTTACACTGGACGAATTGAACAAGAACTAAGCTTGCTGCAGAATATGTGGATAAAGGTATACATATAAATATATATATACACATACATATATATATTACATATAAACCGGCAAATACAACATTACACATACACGTCGACTACACGCATACACATACAGTTAGGCCCATCCAAATTCGCTCACATACCTACACTAACTTACACATATACACCATGAGGTGCACACGGATACACACATTCATATTGCAGGGCTGGTTGAGCTTACCAAGTTAGGATCTGTTTTCATTGAATTAAATGTTTATTATTGTTGAAGATGCAAATGAAAAATACAAAAAAAAATATAAAAGTAAAATCCAAAAAAATGAGTTAAATAAAAATTAAGCAAAAATAAATTTGAGCTTGAATTATCATTGATTGAAACAAAAATTAAAGCTAAGAAAATTAAACACAAATTTAAATTGAAGTAGCAATAGAATAAACAATATAAACAAATGGAAAAAAATTATGAAAAATTTAAATGATACCAAACGAAAAAATTTAAACAATAATTGAACCGTTATACCTGACTTTCCATTATAAATAAGCTCGTGCTATGCAAATTTCCCCCTTCATGAAAGCAATAAATTTAAGTTTAAAATTAAAATATTATATTTGTAACATAATTTTGATTTATAAACTTCCCATTAAGAAGTATCCAAAAACTTAACAACGTTCAAAGACCTTGTACAAGGTGGGCAGGCTGGTCAGCTCGTAGAGATGCTTCTTGAGACGTGCGGGCGGCAGCAGATACTTCTTGAAACCTGGGAATAGAACATGCTCCATATACCAGTGCTGGCTGCGCATGTCGCCATCGTCCTGCCAGTCCAGCTGGGCATAATAGCGCGCGGTCTCTCGGCAAAACGTCTCGAAGCACTGCGTCTCCTCTGACCATTCCACCTCGGTGGCCAGGCGCAGCAGATAGACGGGCAACTGGGCGCGACTGGGCACATGTTGGGGCAGCAGTGCTGGCAAGGACTCCAAGCAGCCCTGCTCCGAGATGCGCAGCGAGAAATATTCGCGCATTAGCGGTGCCATTTCCTGGAGGATGGCCACAGCATTGTCCGCCAGCTCCGTTTTATCCCCATCCTCGGGCACCCAGCCGGCGGCGCGGCTGTCCAGCGCAATGAGCAACAGCTGCTGCAGCGACAATGGCGGCACCACACGCACCTCTGGACAGTTCTGGAACTCGTAGATCAAGCGCTGGTAATAGAGCTCCTCGCTCAGGGCAAACGTGTCGCACATGTAGAGGCGCGTCTCGTGCTGGAAGAGCGCGTGCCGCTCGTCCACACAGCCCACGTAGACCAGCTGTTTGAAGATACTGCGCAATGATACCTGGCACTGGCGCTCCACGCTCTGCTGCATGTTCAGAACGCTGGTGAGGCGCACCTCCTTGGATTTGCGCGCGGCCGTCACCCGGAAGCTCTCCTCCTGAGACAGCGTCTCATTGCCAGAGCTGGAGGATAGTCCAGAATCAGTTTTTTCCAGCGCTTTGAAGAACTTTTCCAACTTCTGTTCGGTGGCATCGGTGCGCACCATATCCTTTTCGTAGATGCGCTGCGTCTTGTCCAGCGTTTGGGTTGCCTCCAGATCCACAGTGCCCGGCAGCTTGAGCTGCTTGTAAAAGCTCCGCGTGGCATTGCTACCCAGCAGCTTTGCCTCTACTTGCTGCTTGATGCGCTCAATGATCTCGTCCTGGTAGAGAAAGTGCACCTCGTGCTTGGTAGGATGGACATTGACGTCCAGATTTTGGGGCGGCAGCATAAGGCTCATGTAGACAAACGGATGCTGACCGCGTGGCAAATACGTTGCATAAACAGTATCCAAAGCAGTTTTAAGAGCTATAAACTCGAGAGGATTAGTAAAGGAAGGAAGATCTTATGGCTACCCAATTACCTGAGGACTCAACCAGTCGATGATTGATGAACAGGAGTAGCGTTGACTTCTTGGCTGAATAATTCACCTGGGTGAGCAGACACTCCAGCTCGAACTTGAACATCTCATCCTTGTGACTGAACTCCATCAGCTCCTTGGCAACGGCAGCGCCATAGATACCCCGTATATTCTCTGTCCGCGAGCTGCACGCTTGCGTTTTCAAGCTTGGTTGTTCGCCTTGCTTGCGCAACACGAAACCCACCTGTGGATTGTGGACGGCATACTTGGCTAGCACATCGGAGATCTTTTGGAATTCCTCTGCAGGGGATTTGAGCGCCTGCCGACGCTGTGGCATTGTATAGAATAAGTCCTCAATGGTAATGATAGTGCCTTGATTGCCGGCACAGGGTTTTGGCGGGGCAAGTAGCTTGCCATCCGCATAGGTGGCCTTGTAGCCGCAACGCTCGCTTGCTGTCTTGGTTTGAATGCTCAGGTGGGCGACATGACTGATGCTGGCGAGCGCTTCGCCCCGGAAACCGAATGTGGCTATTTCAGTTAGATCCTCAAACTTGCTCAGCTTCGAAGTGGTAAAACGTTCGCAGACGATGGACAAATCCTCTTTGCGTATGCCAGTGCCATTGTCCTGGATTTGCAGCAGCTTCAGGCCACCGGACTTTACGTTTACTTGAATATGGCTTGATTTGGCATCTAGGCTGTTTTCCAACAACTCCTTCAGTGCATTGGCTGGACGTTGGATAATTTCCCCAGCGGCTATGCGATTGACAACCACCTCGTCTAATTTTTTTATGATTCCAGGCTCCAGCATGGCGCCAAATGTAGGTACATTGTAAACAAACTAGCGATGTGCAGCAGCTGCAATATAAATTTATCGATAATATCGTACATATTTGGTATTTTTTAGATAATTGGAAAAATTAGTTGGCTTTTTAAGTTTTTCGTTTTTACTTTTAATTAACAAATTCGTTAACACTTTTCATTAAACATAAACTTCAAATAACAATTCATAAAGCATTTGAAACTACAACTATTTTGATTCGAGAATTATCGAAATTATTAACATATGATTATTTGTACTGCATTGTACTATTTAAACATTAACGGAAATTCCTGTTTACTAATAGCATATTGTCGTTCGTTGGCTAAAGCTTAAAAAACCATTTGCATTTGAAGCAAATAAATACAGAAATGCCCAAAACTATTGTCGTGTACTTGAAAACACTTCGCACCTTGCGTCGCTTGCGCTCTGCAAGAATTTCGTTGTAGTCAATGTACAGTAGATTTTGCGGTGGGCTGAACGAGCCAAGCTGTAAAATAAAGTTATTAGATAAAATCATTATTTCTTATCAACTAGCAACTAACTCACATATTTAACCGTCTTAGTCAGTTCGTCTATAATTCCGCGATATGCATTTAAATTGCTCTGCAAGCTGGCCAGCTGCATCTCTGATGGCTGACCAAGTTTTCCATTTAACTGATTTTGCATGACGTACCTTAACGAGGCTTGTATGATCACCAAATGCTGTAAATGATTGGCGGTGATCATGAGGATTTCATAGAAGCTGCAATGATATATTATAATATAATCAATCACTTTATAACTTTGGCAATCTTCTTTATTTACTTATCCATGCCGTCCTTCTTAACTCGCGCTATTGATTTTCTCGACCAGTGATGTAAATGAAAGCTAAAAATGAAATAATAGAAATGTAAAATTAAGAGAAATACAGCTACCAGCAGATCACTTAACACTCACTCTAGTATGCCCTTTAAGATCTTGTTCCGATAGATGGGAAATTTAATGCCAATATCGCGCAATTTCATATCGTCCATATTGAGGAACTCGGCGAGTGAAATGCGTGCTTTAGCAAAATGCTCCAGCATATTTGACATTTCCAGAGTCCTCAATATGCTGGCCAGCTCCTGAAAATACTCCGGGCAGTCGGTTTTCAGAAAAATGCGAGGCACATGATCGCGCAGCGTGTTGTAGCAGATATAATTGCTTGGCACTATGTACTCGGCGGCCGGATCAGGCGGCAGCAACTCCAGCAGATCATAGAAGCCATGGAATTCGGCTACCTGTTTTGGTGTATAGCCCTTGTTGTTAGCCAGATTGGCATTGACACCAGCATCCACCAGAATTTTCACTATATCTCTGTGGTTATTCTCAATGGCATGAAAAATGGGCGTACAGCCTTGATTGTCTATGGCATCGAAGCTGACCTCGCCGATGAGCAGGCGCACAACATTGGTGTAGCCCCGGCGACAAGCGAGCATGAATGGAGTGATGCCATACTTATCGGACACATTGATGACGGCGCCTTTGCTGAGCAGCAGACGCACCAACCGCTCGGCCACATGCGCATCATTTGCATGACAGTCGCAGGCAAACATGAGCGGCGACATGGAGTCCACTAGCTTATTAACACTCGCTCCGAGCTCGTTAACTAGGTACGCGGCCACCTCATTGTGACCCTCACGACAGGCATTCATCAGCATTGTGAGTCCCCCAGTCAAGATGCCATCCACAGGAAACTTGAGCGCATCGATGTGTTCGTGCACAAGTTGTAAGTTTCCCTCCATTAGTGCTTCATACAGCAGTTGTTGTGGCTGCACGCATGGAGCACGTTTCTCTCGTTTCAGCTAAACAGAAGTTTGTTTACGTTAGACTAAATATGCCGAAGCCAACAGAAAAAGCATTTGCTTACAGGTTCGGAAAAGTAGAAGCCATCATAGCTGCTGCAATCGGAGTCATCCGAGTCTACTGGAGGGCCATAAGAAAGTTTTTCGGTCATTTTGTTTCTTTAATCAAACGCGTCCAATGCAACTTTCTCAGAGCATTCCAAATAAAACTATTAAAAAATTGCGTTGCGAAAAGCAAAGAACTAAACAAAATGGCAAAGCTTGAAACGTAATGTGGCCAATGGTGAAAATGAGAATTTCGCGTTTTTCCAAGACCAGAGCTGGTCACACTGTGAAGCCACCAGTGGAGCTTAGCTTATTTAAATTAAATATCGATATCAATATCAACATTATTGTCCATTACAATTCAACGCTTAATTTTCAAATGTTCTCAAATCTTTTTAAAGTAGATTATTTCTTCTCTCGATTTAGTTTTTCGTCCATTTGAATTAAGCGCATAATTTCAAAATATTCATTATTTTATTAATAGTAGCATATTTTACACATATGATCATTTCTTGTTGCCCTTTTTGGCAAATCGCGGCCCACCAAAATTCTTGCCCTTGTTGAATTTATTTTTACCCGCCTTATTTGTTAGTTTGACGTTGCTCGTTTTCTTCTTGGCAGCAATTTTCGTCATCTTCTTGTGTCGGTTGGCCTCGGATCTGTTTTAAAATGGAGAAAAATTGTAGTTAAGTATTAAAAGCTTCTATGATTATCAGATTGCACTAACCTTAAACGAAGTGCGCCGCCCCGACTGACATCAGTTAAATCATTGGTAAAGGCGGATTGTACACCTCGTCGCTTGGGTTTGCCTCCGGCTGGACTGGCATATTTGCTGGTCTCGGTGGCTGCACCCAGTTTGCCAGGTCGTTTCCGTAACTTGGCCATTTTGGCGCGCACCAGCGAAACCTTTTCGATTTCCCTCATAGCGCGCTCCTTGGCCATCTGTTCAGGCGTCTTCTTTTTGGGCTCCTCCTTCTTCTTCTTTTTCCGCTTGGCCTCCAGCTCTTTAACAGGCGGACCATCCTCGCCATCTCCGCCGTATTCTGGCCGTTTACGTTTGCCTGCTGTCTTGCCTTTACCTCCTTTAGATCCGCCTGCTGTTGCTGGTGGCGCCTCGTCATCGTTTGTGAGAGCTAGACGAGCTTTTTCATTCTCTCGCTGTTGTTTGGTCTGGAACCAGGTGCGCCTCTCGTTCGGCTGTCCCAGCAACTTGCGTTCCGTTTTGGACAGCTGCTGTTCAGTTTTGGCCAGCTGACGTTCCGCCTGCTCCTCATCCAGTATGTTCTCTGCAGAGAATTAAAAGAGAAACTTAATAAATCTTTGATTTGTCATTGGAAATTTAATCTTACGTATTTCGGGTTCCAGCGCCGTCAGCTTGTTACGATACTTCTCAATAATCTCTGGTGGTATTATGCGATTCTTCACGGTACTCTCGGCATTCTTGATAATGTCCTTAACAATCTTGCGCTCCTTCTCTCCAGCTAGCGATACAGAGATACCTGCCCGCCCGGCACGCGCCGTACGACCCACTCGATGGATGTAGTGCTCCGTGGTGATGGGCATCACAAAGTTGATGACTGTCTTGACGCCCACAATGTCCAGACCACGTGCCGCCACATCGGTGGCAATGAGCACATCAATTTGTTCCTCTTTAAACTTCTTAAGCGATTCCAGACGCTGCTGCTGCGTCAAATTGCCATGGAGCTCGCCGGCTCGCACGCCCAGCAGTCCGAGGAGTATGTGCAGCCGATGCGCCTGCTTCTTGGTCTGCACAAAGACCATGCAATGATCGTGAAAGGTGCGACAAATCAAGCTGGCCAAGATGGGCTCGCGATCGCCCTCCTTGTCCTCGCGTATGCGTATAAACTCCTGCCTCAAATTGAACGCAACCTGTTGATTGTTGTTGACGAAGACCTTGACGGGCTTGTCCAGCGAGACGGCGGCCAGATCCTTGACCTGCTCACTCATCGTGGCCGAGAAGAGCATCGTCTGACGCGTCTTGCAGCAGGAATTGATAATCTCCTTCATTTGCTCCGCAAAATACTCGTCAAGCATGCGATCGGCTTCATCCAGAATGAGCACCTGGAACGGAGATATATTTCCACATTTAAATTCCTGTTTTATTGCGAAGCTTCCTAATTTCTAATCACTTTCAATCAGCTTGCAACTGCAGCGCAGTCACAAGTACCAATATCTTATCCGCATGGCTCCGAAGAGCTCGGAGCGCAAGGATCGTAATTCATCATCTTTATCTCTATATACCATATCATCTACCTCTTTACCTCCCTTTCATGATGCTCACCTCAATGGAATCCAACGTGAAACTTGGCGTATTCTTGATGTGATCGATCAGACGACCCGGTGTGGCAATTACAATATCTGGATTCTGACGCAGCACAGTCTCCTGGGCCTTAACATCCAGACCGCCGATGGCCAGGCCCACTTCAATGCTGGTGAACTGGCAGAGCTGTTTGGTCACCTGGTAGACTTGGGCGCCCAGCTCACGCGTGGGCACCAGCACCAGAACGCGTGTGATGGCCTTGTTGTTGAGCGGCCGGTAGAGCAGACGCTCCACGGTGGGCAGCATATAGGCGGCCGTTTTGCCTGTGCCGGTGGCCGCGCAGCCGCAAATGTCGCGGCCCAGCAGTGCCACGGGTATGGTGGAGGCTTGAATGGGCGTGGGATAGATGTAGCCCAGCACACCGATGGCGCGCATCAGCGGTCGCGATAGATTCATTTGATAGAACGATGTAATCGTCTCATTGGACTCCACAGTATCATCGAATTGCATTTTCTCGCCTTCTTCCTCCTCCTCCGCATCCACCGCTGATTTCTTCTTCTTGTTCTTACTCTGCTTCTTCTCACGAAGTCGCAAATTATCATGCTTCAGCTCATCCTCGGATAGCGCAATCTCCTCATCGCTCTGCTCGGCGGCCACAGCCTCGGCGCCGCCTCGCTTCTGCAGACGAACGGCGATCTTATCGTCTGTCTTTGTGCGCGCCTTGCGCTTCACATATTTCATCAGATCATCCCAAGTGTCCTGATTATATTCCTTTACCGACGAAACGAACTCAAAGCCCTTCTCGAATTCGGTCACCTTTTTATGCCGTAGCTTGGTCGGTTGATACTGCCGAGTAAGAGGTAGATTAACACCTGTGGAGTCACTTTTCCAACTAAATACTTACTTCTACTTCAGCATCCGAATCTTCGGATAGATTTTCAACCTCGGCATCATCTTCAATGGTGCCGATAAGATCCAAATTTTTAGTTGCGCCCATTTTCATGCGCGTGTTTACAATTTACACTCAACACAACACGTGTGCGGGTGAATGCGATATGGATATTCCATGTATCGCACATCCCTAATTATTTGCCGGCGTAAAAACGTTTATGTAAAATATCGATAAGTTTCGATAACGGGTGGCCGGCAAACAGCTGTTTAAATTGTTATGACATTTCGTTAGTTGCCATCAAGATGCTGCGATTGTTGACAAAAACTCGTCTAGTTAGGTATATTAATATAAAACTAAGTCATTTAACATCGTAAGTCAATATAAAATATATTATAGGTCCCTTGTGCCTGCTGCAGGCATGCGTGGCTACGCTCAAAAGGTGCCAACTGGCAGTAGCAGCAGTATTAGCTCCAAGGACGAGGAACTGAGAATTAGCAACGATCCCATTAAGTTCTTTGGCAGCCAAGCGGCGACCTGGCGTGCACGTGACACCCGCAGCGGTGGCAGCGATGAATCCCTGTGGTATCAGCCTTACGTCATCTCTGCCAGCTTAGCCATATTCTTAATCTACTTTTGCTGTCTACGTGAAGAGAGCGACATTGATCTGCGTCTAGAGGGCAATCTCTATGATCATGTCAGTGGTTTGGAAGAGGTGCAGCTCACCGTCAACTATAGATACAACAAAGAGCATGGCCTAGACACCAAGGAGCAGGAGCAGCGTCTGCGTGAACTGGGCGTCGACATCGCTCAATTGGATGCCAAATTGGCGCAGTAGCTGGCACAATAGTTAGTCCTAAAAATGTTTTGTTTTATTTCCTATTAAGCAATAAAGTTAAATATACATATTTAATAACAAAAATAATTTAAATATTATTACGATGTATTTTGAGTAGTAAATTCAAATAAGATATAACAAGGGTATAGATAATAATATAGAACATTTTTTACTTTGGCTCACGTATATAACAAATATATATTTCCTGATCATAAAAATACTATAAGCTAAGCCTCATTCAAGCTCTCAACTTTCTCTTGTTTCCTTTCCAAATTTCTTTTATGGAATTTGGTTTCGCAATGATTTCTAAATGCGGCATGGCCCTTGATGGTTCGATCGCAGGACTCACAGTGATGCAGCGGGCCCTTGGGCACATGCTTTTGGAGCGGCACATCGGCGGGCAATTCGCCTTGCAGCCTGGCCAGCTTGGCGAGCATCTCGACGTGCCGTATGCTGTCGCAGTGGCGCATATAGTTGCTCTTCTCCTTGATGGTGACGCCGCAGGGCTCACAGTAAACAGAATCATGCATCAGGTGGACCTTCCTAACGTGCTCGTAGACCTCCTTTTTGCAGTAGAAGCCCCTGCCGCATGTCTCGCAGATGAAGTCCTTCTGCTTGAGATGAATCCGCTTGACATGGATATTGAGCAGGAAACTGTTCTGGAATTCCCTTTCACACATGTCACAAGCCACTTTAGTCGGTGCCTTGGGATCGGGTTGTGGTGAAAGTCCCAGCTCCAGTCGACGCCTTTGCATCCGCGCACAATTCGCCGCCCGGGCCTCTTCCGGGCTGTGCTTGTCACAGCAGCGACTCTGCGAGGGCAGTTTGCAGATGAGACAACTGAAGCTGCGTATATGTGCCACAGCCACATGCGCACGCAGCGAACGCTCCAGCTGGAAGCGCCACCTGCAGCTGGAGCACTTGAATCTACGCAGGCGCAGGCGACACGCAACGCGAACCCGCCGCAGATGCTGCAAGTAAATGCGACGACTGAGAAAGCTGCGAGTGCAACTGAAGCAGTACCAACGCCGGCTGGAGTCAGGCGTTACATGGTGTTTCCTTATGTGCAGCTGATGACTGTAGCTGTGTAGGTAGTTTCGGTTGCATTGTGGGCAGGCGGCGAGAGTGCGAGAGAGTCGCTTGCGAGACAACCTCAGCAATTGTGCATTCATTTCCAATTTAAAATCCGATTGGTTGTCGTTAAGCATGGGAACATGCAAAACAGACTGCTCCTGATTCTCTGACACTTCTCGTTGGCGCTGCTCCAGTAGCATTAGCTTATACGACTCGTTCTCCAACAATGTGCCCGCCTCGCCTCGCTTCACTCTTCTGCTCCTATGCGAGAGCAGCGTGTGCTGCAGAAAGTAGCGTCGATAGCATAAGCGACAATGCCAATTATCTTGAGATTTGTGCTGCCATTGATGTGCCTCCAGCTGCTGCAGTCTGCACCAGGGCAATTGCGCGCAATCCTCGCAGCCGCAGCGCAATCCCGGAAAAGAAGGAGCAGCTGCCGTGGGCCTTAGGGCAGTGCGCGACTCCCTGTCGCTGAGTTTGGCCAGGGCGCGACGATAGCCTGACGTTATGGTGTCCATGATCTGCTCTAATTGTGCAACATTCACGGTGTTTGCTTGCGCTCCAAAAGCAGCGCCCAACGCTTTGTAATCCGATAGCAAATCCACTTTATAGTACTGATTGCTCCAAAAATTTTCACAGGATTGAGCGATGCGCAGAAGACGCATCATGTCCGCAGTGCTGAAGCGCACCATCTTCTGCACTGGACCACCGGTAGAAGTTGCCTCCTCGTCAAAATTTACGTATTTCTGGATAAGACCACTACAGCATTTGCATTTACAGGTGCAGGCGTTGGTGCAACTGCTGCTGCTGCTGCTGTTGGCTGTGACAGTAGGCACGGGTAGGCTGGCACTAAAATGTTGCAGTGCAACTGCCAATTTGCAGGGCCAGGACATCTTTGCTCCATCTAATTGCAGTTATCAAATTACAATAAGTTCAAAAACGCTACGAGTATTTAAATAATGCAGCTATGAGTTTGCGATAAATATAAACTATCGATTAATCCTAAGCTTTATAACGGAATGACACTAGATAATTTATATCGTAATTGGATGGCTTAAGTTATTAGCATATTTCGCCATATACATCTCAGAACTTAATTGCAGTAAAGGTATTTACCTAATTATAATTAGTGCTAAGGACAATAAGCTGCAGTAAATAAATAAATAATAATACAAATAGTTCCATATAAGATTTTATGAGTTAACTTCAAACATATCGCAGAAATGTTGAACCATGTTAAATTATTTAACTAGAAATACATTAGCACAGCATTAAAATACTACCGTTATTTGAATGTACCAACAAATGTGGTACACGATCGATTACATGTTTGCCGTACATATCGATAAGCCATCATTTTGGTATTCTCGTACTGCGCATTGGAGGCACACAGTGTTTGTTGTTTTCGAACAACAAAGACGCACTCGGGCGGCGCAATTCATTTTTGTTTAAGTTGCCAGACAAGTTCTGTGTGCATTCGGGGGAAGGTAAACAATTGTGCAAGTGTTGGCCGAAACGATTGAAACGCGTAAGTAGTCTTCAGTTGTGCTATATTATTCTTCATTAAACTCTACAGAGCATCTATCATTCGCACAAACATACGCACTCACACGCATACGTATCCAAGATATCGTACAAGCATATATATATATTAATATGAATATATATAGAAAGAGAGATGTATCAATTTAATTTAAATTAAACTCGTCTGCATCCGACAGGCAGGTCCAAAGTTCATTTTTTTGTGCAGCGATTTTTGCTTAAGTGTGCGTCTGCTTTATGTGAATTTGTGTGTAAGCTTGCTTGTGTGTGCCTGTAGGTGTGTGGGTGCGTAGATGCATGCAGAATGATAAAACGAGAAAGAAATAAAGAAATTAAAAATTGTTATTGTCAAATGCCCTTTCTTTTTTCAAAGCTCCTCACGTTCTCTCTATAAACAAAATACGTTGCAACAATGGCTTCGCATTTCTTTCGCACTGCATTTTACGCAACTGCAGCGAAAAAATCAATAAATCTACCGTTTGCCGCCGGCCGCACGGCCGCAACACTTGCCGTGGGCCTCTCCTTTGGTGGTAAATTCTCTAAGATTATATTATATTTATTTATATACAAAAGTGTATATTGTATGTATCTCTCCTGATGTCATCCACAATTAACAGCACAGAACAATTGTGCATCCGGCGTGCCGTATGAGAACGTCTATGCGGATAGATTTTTTGGCATCTCCGGCGGACTCCCCATCGCCGGCAAGGACAAGGGCCTATTGCAGGGACCGCTAGCCGACTGCCGCCAGGGCATGCAAAAGCCGATCACTCGCAATTTTTCAAGCCTGCAAACGCAACTGGTGGGTCATGTAAGCTAATTATATATACATACATATATTTAAGTATGCAAATTTGTTTATATAGATTTATTTTTTAAGGTTTTAGGCATATATTAATGTGTAAGAAATGTGCGTATGTGAAATCGGACAATGGTTTGATTCCGCGTTGCTTTAATTGTTAGCCAATCAACATTAATTTATGTGCATTTAATTCAATTTACAATTTGCAGTTCGTGCGCTGCTATTGATTAGCATTAGCAGTTGTATTCTAGTACAAAACTAACGGTACAATTAGCAAACACAATAACATTCATGACGTAGCGAATACGTTTCATTGTTTACATTCCCATACGCCAGCCACGTACTGTAAATGTAGTCGCATTCTTTAACATTATCAGAACCTTCCGCAACATTTCACGACGCGCTAACACAATGATTACAGTTCAAATCGCTTGCAGTGCGTTTGCCATTAGCACATTTGCTTTAACGTTAACAGCGCCTGCCACAACATTTTTGCACAGCGCACATAACATTATGCTTACATTCCAGACATGGTTTAACATTAGTGGCACCTGCCACAACATAACATACATTACGTTACGATCATTAGCGTGAACGTTAAGCTACACCGCCTCGCTCAATGAGCTGTGATGATAATCTTGTGCACTTTGCTCCCGGCGTGAAGTGATTTAACTTTTTCATTTGAATGATTTGCCGGCGAATCGCAAACAAACATACATAAATACATATATATACAGGAATAACAACAAATAAATAATTAATCTTAAATATATGCAATTAGTTCGTACCCATTTGCCGCTTGACTTCAACAACAAATGATTATAGACTCTTTGGTTGACTGGGCAACCTTTAACCCTTAAGTTTCTTTTTGGCTGCACCTATGCAAAGCGACCTCTATCGTCGGACATTTGCACTTACTCAATTGGGGCGACTTTTGCGCTGATAAATCATAATGGCGCTCAATGTCAAGCTTTCGGCCCAAGCTCAAGCGATCGTCGTGCTCTCGCTCTCTCCCTCACGCAAATGGGGGTGGGGCGGGTTGGGGATTGGGTCCGCTTCCAATGCCGCAATGTAATTCAATCCGCCGCAATGGCAATTCAGATCCCCCGAATAGCATACGCACACACACACACACACTCACGGGCGCAGTCACGAAACATATGCCATTTTCCAGATTTCTATTGGAATCCGGGTGTACGCTCGCCCACCATGTTTGAAGCTCGTTTAAGACGGCAGTCGATCCAAAGCTTTTGTAACTGCAAATACATGTGTTGGATATACACTAATTCTAATTATGGAATTCATAATTGGAATTGTTCTAGTTTTCCTCTTATTGATTATACTACGTAAGATCTATAGGCGTCTGAAACGTGTGAGTTTTCTACTGCTTCATATTCTTCTCCACTTTTACCCTGTGCTCAAAAGTCGGTAGACGTATAATCTATTAGACGACTGATAACTGTTTAAATTCCCACCTACAACAACTTTGTATGCTGCTTATCTAAATTGCAACAGTCTTATCGATAGATTGGATTAAGCCATACTATGCAGAATATTAAAAAATATATATATAAAAATATTTTAGTCTTCTCCAAACGCGTGTGACTGAAAGTCAAGTCAAATTACTCCAGGGAGCGCCGAAACAGTTTCAATATCCATTTGAAATAAGTGCCATAAATAGTTCCTGGTAACTAAATCACATACAAAGTTGTCTAATCAACCGATTAGGAATCCCTGCCTAACCCAAACTAAACACTTACATGTGTTTAATCAGCCTTATCTTATCAATCCAATCGTTGCTTGATTTACTCACATTATTATTATTTTATTGGCAAACATTGAAGGTCAAATGTCTGTGCTCGCTAATTCCGCCGGGGAGTGCTATAAATTCTTATTTATATCATTTGCTAATTTGCATGGCATGAATACAAATAACTCTAGACTTAATTTTTTTTTTTTTTTTTTTTTTTTTTTTTTTTTGTGGTTTTAGTAGTATCTAATCGGTTAGAGCTAATCAGTTGCCAATTCTGATACCGTTCCGCCGCCAGCCAATGTCCAGCCTATCTAATCGCGCAGATAGCATCAACTCGACCTATCCGAAATTTTGTATAGCAAGAAACGAAACCCGTTTCAATTCACATTGAAACGTTAAAGGTTTTTCACTTAATTTTCTCAGAAAAGAAAATATGTTAAAAGTCTTATAATTGGCAATATTTTTGATAAATTTTTTTATTTTATAAATTGGATCCTTTCCTGCAATTTAAAACTAATTTCATTTATAGAGCTTTCAAAAATACCTTCAAGTTCCAATGAAATGCTAATGGTTAATTTTCCGCATATAAAATAAATTAATAATATCTGAAAAGCAAAAGTTTTTTTCAGTTTTGTGAGTGTTTAATAATAATAGTATTTCATTAATAAATTATATATATTATTTGAACGAGAGTAAAACTAATCTTCTGTCTTCGCTTTCACAGAGCGCCATGGCCCCGTTGAAGAACCGCCGGTATTTGTCCTCCAAGGATATTACCAAAAATATGACGCTCTATACGAATAACAAGGTGAACATCGAGGTGGATCCCAAGACGCTGGCCTTCAAGAAGCCCACTGGAAATCCGCTGGTGCTAATGATGGCCTGGCTGATGGCCAAGCAGAAGCATTTGAAGAAATATGCGCAAATCTACACGGAAATGGGCTTCGATGTGATGGTGGTGCACATTACGCCCTGGCAGCTGCTCTGGCCGGCCAAGGGTACTCAGGTAGATATAGCAGTAGTAGCAGTATATACCTGTTATGCCATGCCATAAACTCAATATCCATTTGTTGTTTCAGGTGGTCGCGGCTGAAACGATAAAATTTCTGGAGAACAATAAATCGTATGCGCCGATTGTAATGCACGGCTTCTCGGTGGGTGCATATCAAATGGGCGAGATAATGTTGCAAATGTCGCGTGATATGGAACGATATAGCAGCATATTGGATCGGTTCGTTTGCCAGATCTGGGACAGTGCCGCGGACATTACCGAAATCCCAGTGGGCGTGCCCAAGTCGATATTCCCAAAGAACGAGCGCATGCAGAGCGCCCTGCGCAACTATACCCTGTACCATTTGAAGACATTCCATAACCAGGCCACCATACATTATATGCGCTCCAGCCAGATGTTCCACTCCACGCTACTCAAGGCACCGGCGCTGTTCTTTGTCTCCGAGAATGATCCGATCGGCCCGCCTTCCTCCAATCAGGCTGTGCGCGAGAACTGGGAGCGCGCCAACATAAAGGTGACTTTCAAGTGCTGGCAACGCTCACAGCATGCGGCCCATTTGATCAAGCATCGTGATGAGTATTTGGAGACGCTCTTCCAGCATTTGGAGAGCTGCGGTGTCCTCGAGTCTGTGGGCGTGGCCAAGCGAGCCAAGTTGTAACATGTCTCGCCGCTCAATTTGGGTGATAAAAAAAAAGAACTAAAACTAAAAGAAAAACAGAAACATAAAATATTTCGACGATTTCATGATTTTATCTAGTGGATAAGAATTAAAGTTTAAACGTTTTGTTCCCTCTGTGTTTGTGTGTGTGCCAGAATCATCAAAAAAAGAAATACCAAAATTTGCCTGCAAACAATTTTTAGAATTAAGCGATATACGGCTTTGTTTAGTATCTGCTCGACAGTCAAGCAAAATGATATATGTTTATTTTTGAGTCCACCAGCATCACTAAATAAAGTAATTTAATTAAAACTAATCAAGCTCAATTGTTTCTTTTATTGTCGAAATAAATAAAAAAAAAAATAAAATAAAAAAAATAAATATTCGCTGCGGACAGGATTCGAACCTGTGCGGGTAGAACCCAATGGATTTCAAGTCCATCTCCTTAACCACTCGGACACCGCAGCTCCGATTCAAGCGCCGCCAAATTGCAAACAATTCTGTTCAGTATATTGTATCTCAAAAGTATACGTGCAATAGATGGCGCTAGGTAATACTTTCAATTAGCATTCATAGATGGCGCTGTATCCTGTCTATTTTTAAATACATATTTTGACACCAAGATCAACATATGCTGCGGTGTCCGAGTGGTTAAGGAGATGGACTTGAAATCCATTGGGTTCTACCCGCACAGGTTCGAATCCTGTCCGCAGCGAATATGCTATTATTGTTAAAATAGTTATTTTATTTTTTTTTATTTTCCTTGTTTCAATGTTTACTCATTTCATTTTTTATCCACATATGTATATATTTGTTATTAAAAACATGTTTTGTTTTTTTTTTTTTTTGTTATATTTTGTACGTCTGTTACAAAAAATAGTTTTCATCATTTTATAATCTTAACTAAGCTTTGTTTGATGTTTGTTTGTATATTAAAAAAAGAAACTTAATACAATTATTTGCATTAATAGAAGTATTATGTATATAGCCTAAGACCTAACCACATGCTGCGTCGCTTCACTGCTTCGGCGGTGGACGGTAAACGCCCACGACAACAGCATGATCACGTTCATAGGGTTCCAGCGTCAGCTGTTCCTGTGGCTTCAGTTTGTCCGCCTGCATCTTTTTCACCTCGGCAGCAAACACGGCTTCGGGTTGCGCCGTCGAGTCAATGCAGGACGCCTTGATGGAGATGACAAAGTGACCGCCGTTCTTAAGGAAATGTTGCGCATTCAGCGCCACGATACGGCCCTGATCTGGCTGCGCCACATCCGCAAAGATGGTGTCCACCATGCCGACCAGCATACGATACTTGTGCGGATGCCGAGCATCCTCAATGATGGGTATAATGTTGGTGCGCTTCTTGGCCACATTTATCAGATCGCGACCCGACCGATGTGAGAACTCGACAGCATATACCAGACCCTCGGGTCCGACAACGTCCGAGACGTGCGACACCGTTGTGCCCGATGCGCCGCCCAGGTACAACACCTTGGAGCCAGGTGGCATGTGTATTTTTTCAACGCCGCCAAGAATGGCAGCGGCCAGCTTGGACCGGAAGGGATTCCACACGCGATACTCAATCTTTTCGCCGCCAGTCTGCAAAATAAAGATTAGATAAACATTAGAAATCGGCCAACTTTTGGGATCAACTTCTTGCTGGAGTGCGAGCTGTCTCAGTAGTGCTATAGTTCTAAGCAACACGTGGACGCTGCCCGCAGCTGCTTCACGTGCACCTGGAGTGCACACAGGCGGTCAGACGCCGCGCGTGCTCATGGCCACATAATGCCATGTTCTGTACCCCTGCACAACATCATCACAGACAGAATGAAGTATCTGCTCGAATATCTCCTTGTTTACCTACCTCAACGGAAATTCGCTTCTCGCCGTAGACTTCGGAGCCGGGCACAAAGTTTCGTGTGACCAGAGCATCTTCTTTGCCGCGCGCAATGAACACGCCTTCATGACGATGTGGTTCAATGGTGACGGTTTTGCCGCCTTTGAAGCCGCCAGCACCACCGCCACGGCCGCCTCCACGGCCACCGGCGCCACGTCCACCACCGCGGCCACCACCACCACGGCCTCCACCGCCACCGCGTCCACCGAAGCCGCCACGACCTCCACCGCCACCACGTCCTCCACCTCCACCGCCACCGCGTCCTCCGAAGCCTCCACGACCTCCACCACCGCCACGTCCACCGCCGCCGCCGCCGCGACCACCGAATCCACCGCCTCCGCCTCCTCTACCGCCGCCACCACCACGAGGACTGAAACCTATGAAGAAAAATTTTAATTCAATTTAATTTCATATGTATATTACAAAAACACATTGCTTTCATAGGTTAACAATTTACAATGTTTTCATGGCGGAACTTTTTGTTTTTCCGTGCACTACAATTCACTTCTTGTTACATTTCAGTAACTCACCTGGCTTACCCATTTTATGTGTCTGTACTTTTGATTTTAAATACAAGTTAAAACAAATCGAAATCACAGACGCACGCGGCACACTTTTAACGCTGGTTGAAAAGAAACCACGTGTGTGCGGTAGGGTTGCACGATATAAATATATCGATAGTGTGTAACAGTCTGAGATAACAGCCCTGATTATTGTTGTGTGTTGGTAGGAGATTCTAGGTAGTTTTAAGTTTGGTCACACTTCTACCAGCGCAAATATGGCCGTCGCATGAAAATTGTGAGAAAAGTTTTGAGCGCCGTGTTTGCCATTTGTGTATTTTAACTCAACGATAAACTATACAAGCGTGCACGCAAAACGTATAAAAATGTAAGCAAATTAGTTAAGTGCCTGCAAATATCGTTTTTATTAGTATAAAACAAAACAATTGCCTATTTTCGGTTCGTGTTCGTGTTCGGTTTTCGGCTTCGGTTATTTGTCGCTGACAAAGCAAAAAAAAAAAAAACAGAAAAAAGTATATATAT